AAATCGCTGAGCATTTTCCATAATTCTAGAAAATCGAACTGGAAATTCGACCTCGAATTTCAAGAATCTTGGGAATTATTTATAGAAATTCGACTTCGAATTTCCTGAATTCTGGAAAATCGAGATCAAATTTCCAAGTTTCTGTAAATTCGATTTTCTAGAACCTAGAAAATCTTCAGGGAATTTATATATGGACTTTTTGAAAATCGCCGAGCATTTTCTATAAATAATTCCCGACATTACAGTGTAATACATTCTTGCCCGCATGTACTGCCGTGTGTTTTTGCTCTTATTTTACAAGAAAAACCGAAGTTATATCGACAATAATAGAAAATGGAACAGATTTATGCGTGTCGTTTTTCGAGAGTGACAACTACATTTGATTACGAATAGTGACTTGGATGTGCTTTGCTGAACGTACTGTTGTGTAGAATGCTATTAAAGAGAAAAATGATCTGACTGGGTTTCAATTCACAAGTGTCGACCGATTGTGCAGACATTATGTCGAGTATCGAGGTAAATTCTCTGTTTCGAAACAGATCGGAATAATTAAAATGCTAAATTTTGTAGACATTAGTCATAATAAAGTTAGGAAAGAGAGCAGTTGATGATTTAAATAGTGGCTATTAGTGTATAATCGTTGTACGCCTACGCTTATCCAATCACTGGGAAGAAAAGGTCGATCTTTATGTGTCATATACTATTGATAAATTTCATGACGTCATTCTTTTTCTCCTTGTTCTGTTCTGTTCTATATAAATAAAAAGCAATTTTCTTTTTCTTACCTTTTGCCTTGTGCAAGGATAAGATATAGCGCTACCTAAAGAATAAATATTGCAGTTATAGTCATGTAAAATGTAAAGTATTTTTCTCGCACACTCTTACATGCTGATGTTTTGAAATTTTATCTTTGTCACGGTTTAATCTCGATCTCGTTATGGCATCAGAAATAATGGAATATGATTTTTTTTCAGTATTACCAAATGAAGTTTTGTGTATAATATTTTACCACATTCGTCCATATAAGCAGTTATTATCCACCGCTTCTCTTGTTTGTTGTCGTTGGCGTCAGATCATATTTAATGAACAGTTTACAAACGAATATTATAAAATCAAATATCGTCAATCAAATTTAATTGGGTGGTGGAAATTTAGTAAGCCAGGATCAGTTGGGTATGATTCAAGTGGACTCATCGGTGAAAAATGTACAGTTAATGGCACTCCTGAGATAGATCAATGTTTTCTCGGCAATTGTACAGTATTCGATGGGCATTCGTCAATACGAATACCAGTTATGAATTATCCACAATATCAAATTGACTTTTATTCAATATCCTTATGGGTGAGCTTTGATTCATGGGTAGATTATAATGGATGGAATGTATTTTTAGCTGCTTGGGACGATGATTTGAATAAAAATTGGATACATCTAGGTATATTTGATCTTAAACTAGAAATCGAATTGAAATGAATGATTCGTAACTTAAAGGCCTCGACAATGAATTGATCAAAAAACTTTATCCGGTCGGCGATGAACTATAATCGCTACGTATCCGCTTAAGCCCCCCTTCCCCCTGGATCAGAAACCTATCTCAGCCCAGGTGGGTCTGATCTAAACCAAACTTTCAGGGAATGTTGACCATGTCAATTGATTCTGTTAAATGCGTTTTACTTAAAACCTGTTTGAGCGTTAAATAGTTTGTTGATATTTTGCTAGAGGTTATCGATCATGGCAGATTTAATGAACATGTACGCGGCCATGTGCAGCACATGCGCCCGCTTATGCAATACAAGTGCGAAAAAGCCATTTGTTGGCTATAGGGCTTCTGGAAAACTCACTCAAAATATAAGAAAAACTCATCCTATAGAAAATTATGTCATTAGAAAGTAGACACTTTAGTAGAACCATGTGCTTTTCTCTAAATCAATATTTTTGACGAAAATCGGCGTTTCTGACCCGTGGGGAGGGTGGGAGAGACCTTAAGCAACTTGAGTAGTTTGTATTTTTTAGAAGATTTTCTTTATTTCTAGGTTGTCAAAGGAATCACATTCAAACTCAAGTAGTTATATCGGACACTTATCGGTGTCAATATGATTGTAACGCACAAAATACACACATTAATAGGAGAACTTGGTATCATATTGTCGCTCGAATCAGTCGTCAAAAACAAGAGATATGGATAAATGGAAAATTGAGTGAAATCAAAGAAATGACAAATCCACGTGATGCGAGCACCGGGCGATCGTATTCGTGGGCAAATGAAGAAACATGGTTAGAAGAAAAAATGTCAATGCCCAATATATTAACGATAGGTGCAAAAAATGAATTGTACGAATATTCATGGCATGGTGGACGTTTAGCTGATATTTCTATATGGAATTGTTGGTTAGAACCGAAAGAAATTCGTGCAATTTTTCAACAAAAATGTTCAATTGATCAAATGAAAATTGGAACTTATTTATTTTCAAATCTATGTGACATGTAATTGATGCCACATTTAAGTGACGATAGATAGACATAACGAACAGACGAATAGGAAAATGACAATCCTTTTCGTGATTTTAACATATTTAAACGAATTTTTACGCTCTGCGTACTCTTACGTATTCCGGTGTGATCTTACAGTTTTTATTTTTTTGGGTCAGTTATTAACATACGTGATTTTATCACTATTTTAACCTAAGAAATGTCTCATTCATTTATTAACCAATAAACAAAACTTAACACTAGGTGAGCTAACCGATTATTTATACGTCTTTCTGTGAAGAGCCTCTTCTCCTTTGCAGGAACTTATCACCTTAAACAAGCAAAATCATACACTATAGAGCATCTGTCAGCTGACGGAAAATACGTCGTTAAAGTAGCAAAGAATCGAGCTGAACTTATTAAAGCTAAAATACAATCAAGACACAAAAATTCTGTGTCATATGATGTGTGGATTAGATATTCAGCTAGCACAATTGTTGGTTGGTATTGTACTTGTCGAGCTGGTGCCAGAGTAGTTAGCTGTTGTGCACATTGTGCTTCAATTACGTGGTATCTATCCTTCGCGCGTCACCACCCCGAACAACTGAAACAAGAATCATCATCATTCTTTGTCTAACGTCTGCATCATTCTCAAAAACAAATAAGCATGCTTCTCTTCTATTCTTCTTTCTTTTCTTCTTTTTAATGAACAATACTGCATATATATGCGTCAAAAGAGATGTTACAAAAGGAATGTTATATTTTGCTTTTTATACATGACGTGACTAAGGGAGGCAAAGACTTAATCTGCTTCTCTTCAAAACAAGTATTTCTCTCATAGAAAAAACTTGTAGCAATAATGCTTTTTTTATCAACAAACCCTAAAGAGCGATACTACATACTGATGTGATTGGATGGGAACTTCTACACGAAAAATCGGTTAAAGAAATATACCATTGGAAAGAGTATCACTTAATGTATTTTCAGTAGAAAAATCTTTTTTATTCACGGCCTCTAAGTATACCTTTGGTCATCAACAAACTCAAGAATAATTAACCGTGGACAATCGGAGAGGTGATCTGCGTTTAGTGGATTGAGATGACGTCCGATCCATTTAATTCTTTCGAAATCAGATAGAGCACAGCGAATTATGTATAATTAGAGTTACTCAGTCTATCACGAGCCCTATCCCTATCAACTGAGAGAGCAAAACCGAGAAAAATGGGGTCCAAGGTTGTTTTTTGTTGTGGTTGTCATTTGACAGTGAAGCATTTTTGGACGTACTAATTGTGGTATTCGTGAACAGCATGGACTATTGTGTAGGACTAGGCATTATTTCGGCCCGATTTGATAAAAAAAATTTTCAACTTTGTCCTCAAGGGCAATATTTTTCGAAATTTTTTTTTTGAGACTTTGAACGATTCTTAAACGCTATTCCACTCAGAATTTAACGCTGATTCCGAATATGTGTGTCTTGGATAGTAATTTTTTGGGCCGAAAACATGTCCTAATGCCCCTCGTCCTTTCAAAAATAGTGAAAGGGGAATCAAATTGTGATACGGGAATGGCGAAGAAAAAGAATGCGCTTGTTAATTCAAAAATTTAGTCGAAATTGATTCAAACTATGGCAGAATATCAAAGTATACTCGATCTTATCTGGATTACATCACGCAATTCAGTGCAGCTTTTAAAAAACAGTAGAAACTACTTTGATTTTTCAGGAGATTTTCCAGAAGTCTTAACACTTTTGGTTTATCTCTTTCTCGAAAAGGAGTTGGATAAGATGGCGCTGCGTTTAGTTTTTGAGATGCCCCTTCTCTCTTCTATATAGCTGCAACTACGCAGCAGCACATGAAATGAGATGGATGATATTTTATGGGATTTCGAAGAGATCAGTAGGTCTCTTCAGTAGCTGCCATTTTTTATGTAAATCATTATCAGAAATTGTTTCTGAGTGGAGAAAAAAATCGGAATACTACTCCATGTAGCGTTACATTGCCTGAAAATTCAGAATGACTATATTTCAGGCTGTTCTTCATCTGTAAGGTGGATTGAAATGGGAAACGCTTCCTTATAGATGAGTTATATATTATAGATAAAAAAAGAAAATTTTGAACGCGGTCTGATTCTCGAAGAAAACGTTCCCTGTCTTTTGTTCAAATCACTTAAAAGTTTAGAATGTACTTGGTTTAACTCGCTAGGAATTATAACAAAACGATTACGTTCACTATATCGTCATACCGGCTATAGATTTCAAATGTTTATATTATCTCACTAGTTTAAATTACTTTGTAGGTCATGCATATTGACATGTATTTTTTCTTGACTAGTTCAGAACACCGTGCAGGTCAAGCAATCATCGGTTGTGAATTTCCTATCAAAGATCACTGTCAATGCGATCAATACTCCTCAATAGGAAATGATGTCACGCTCCAACGCCCTCTCTCCCTACAATGACCAGTCGAAAAGTCTGAATACAGCTTTATGCTCTTCTCTCTGTTGTAAGACTTCTTAGAAAAAAATAGAAAATTCGGAATCGATCTTTACCTGTCCTACGTGTTGACCTGCATTAGTCAAGAAAAGATAAAAACTTTGCATATATATAATACTTGTACCTATATCAGCTCCCATCATATGCAAATTAAGTTTTTTGAAAAAGAAGATTCTCAGCGACTGTGTATTCTTCAAGCAATGATCTTGCAAGAACACAGATAAGAAAGAGAACAAGTATCGTTATATATTACAGCCATTCCGCATGACGGTCATCCAAATGAATGCGCACCATTGTTTTTATCGATTTGTAATGTGCAGCCAATGCAAACTTGTAGTGAAATGTATCCAACCACATAATATAACTTGCAGTAAACATTTTTTTCGAATATATTATACACCATTGGATAGAGCTCTCCGAAGTTTTTAATTTTTCGAAAGGTTTGTTTCATGTCGAAAAATCGAGGGAACTCGGCCGATCTCAAATCACGAAAAAACGATGATATTCAAAAAAGTTCGATTTTTCGACTTGGGTTTTTGGTCGAAACGTTTAAATTAGTTTTTCATTGGAAATTGGGTTAGAGCCGTTGGAAAAAGCACTATAGCAGAAAATCGATCATATCTCTCTCCAGTCTCCATCAGGTTTTGAAGAGCACACTCTTAGCTACAAAATGAGACATCTTTCAACTCTCCATGGTCTCTCATTCAAATACTATAAGATCAACAAAGGCAACAAAAAGTAATGCACAGATGCGTTACGCGGAATGGTCATATACACCACATGAAAGAAAGATGGGGGCTCAACTAGAAGTAAAAAAACAGAAAATAGGTGATATATGCTGGCATACGAAGAGTTACAGTTTGAGCCCTGCGGGATTGAGTTTTTTCGTCCCGATCCCAACAAATTCTGTTAGCCACTCCCGATCCCATCCCGCAGACTTAATCCCAATCCTGATCCCGTCCCGTAGGCATAATTACAATCCCGTTAAATCCGGAAATTTTTTTCGCTAAAATACAAACAGCTGTCGCTCGTGTGCGACAGGCTGAAAGAAAGAATCCGATTGACTGTCGTGTGAGAACGACAGTTTCTTGTGTGTGTTTAATTTTTTCAACTGTCTCGTCAGTTGTGTATCACCCGAACCCGTTCGTAAGCCTGACCCCCATTCCGATCCCGTAAATATTTGTCCTCCTATGCCGATCCCGCAGGGCTCTAGTTACAGTCATCAATTTATCCATTCTAGTTGACTGATCTGATGTTACAAATAAGATGGCTGAAGAAATGATCAATTATTCACATAGTCACTTTTGCGTTGTGTCAGCGTTTCAGACGACATTATAGCCGAACTACTGTATTTACGAAAAAAAGAACGTTCGGCTATAACGTCGTCTGAAAAGGTAACAGATCGCAAAAGTGACTATGTGAATAATTGATCATTTTTATTCTGTCATCTTATTCGTAACATCCCTATTATTCTGCTGCAATTGGGCGACTAAACAAGTAAGAAAAAAATCGTTATTAGTCAGTCATTGCACAAGGTATGCTATTCTCGTGCGATGTAAAAAACAGATCATAATATAATGCAAAAATTCAAAAATATCCACAATGCAATCTTTTGATGACTTTTCAAAACTATGCTTATAAAATTATTTATTGTACAGGGAAAGTATCTTCATTGCAAATGGTCTTGCTCTTGAGATATCCTGTTATGTGAATTTTTGCAACATGATTTATTTTTGGTGCTTAAATGAGAGAAACGTCAATTAACGAGGAAACATTCCCAGGTGTCATCTCCTGTTTTGACGCATTCATATCTCAATCGATAGAGTATATCGAGATAGTAAAACGCCTAAAATAGAAATTTTTCCCAATGGCTCTTGAAGACCATAATGGTAGCCCGCAAGTTTCTGATTAAAATGAGACATCTCCCAGCTCTATACGAGCTTTCTTTGCAAAGTTATAGAATATAAAAGCTCTAAATTAATTTCTTCTTAAAATATTTTAAAATATATTTTAAACATGACAAAATTAGAAGGATTACCAAATGACTTATTAATCGAAACATTTGATTATCTTTATGGACATGATATTCTATATGCATTTAGTAATCTAAATAATCGTATTAACATATTATTGAAAGTTTATAATCATTACAAATTTGCTTTTTGTCATATAAATGAATTAAAATTCGATTGGATATGTGAACAAAAATTCAATCAAAAACACATTCAATCTTTAACATTATCCGAACATAGATATGATCAAATGCAACGATTTCTATTATTTTTTCATACTGATGATCTTCTCCCTAAATCTTCAGTCATTATCGTTATTTATCATAAATATTGAACCACTTCAATGTTTTCTACTAAAGCTATCGTCGTTTCAAAAACTGACTCATCTTCGAGTTGATTTTGAAAGAGCCTATATTTATTATCAGCATTCAATAATTCATCTGTTTAAATCAATTTTATTCGGTACAATATCAACATTAAAAAGTTTCGCATGCCATCTGTTAAACGCTATAATAAGTAAAAACAAAAATATCAAAGAAGAACCACTGTTAGAAACATCAGAATTCAATAAAATTGAACATCAAATAATAACTCGTTTTTCTATATTGAATATGTCGCAATTATTTTTATATATACCAAAATTAAAATATATTGATTGTAGTTTACATAATGAATACAATCAACAATGCAATGTTGATGAACTACGTTTACCAATCAACTTTTTAACTTATTTAAAATTATAATTATTTGAAAATATTTCATTTTATCATATTAAATTATTGTTAAAACAGTCAGAAAAAATAAAACATTTTCAATTAGTCATGTGGAATACAACTGATAAACAATTTTTAAATGGTTACAATTGGAAATGTTTAATTCAAAGATATTTAAAAGAATTAAAAACAATTTCAATTCCTATTTTCTATTTCTGCTACATGAGAGAGAGGTATGGATGACTTATTAAAACCATTTCAAGACGATTTTTGTATAATAAAACATGAATGGTTTATTACATGTGATTATCATATCAATAGTAAAAATACTTGTCTTTATACAATACCCTATTTAGTTAATGGATTACAATTATGTCCTCGATCAACATTTACAACAAAATCAACATTTTTATCAAACACATCTTATAGTAACATTAAAAAAGTAACATTAAGATTAAAGAAATCAATACCACCAACACTCAATCATTAATATTCACAGTTAGAAATGTTAGTTATTTACCATATTGCACAAGGCACAAAATCACCTTTATAATTTGCTATCCATATCATCTATTAAAGAATTATGTCTTAAAGAAGAAATCGATTTAACTCTTTTTTCAAGTATTTTACAATATAGTGATCAATTACAAAAATTACATACATATTTTAATATTTTATCGAAGATGACAAATTATTTTCAAGATTTAATTCTATGTACACAATCAAATGAAAAAATAACACCTTTTTTTAAATCAATATCAATCATTAACAATGAGACAGATTGAACAAATGTGTCGAATATTTTCAAATTTGGAACAGTTCGCTATTTCTGTTTCGTCAATTTATGATGTTTCGTATATATTATATGAATTAGATTATTTATCATTTATAAAAATAAAGCGACTGACTGAGTCGCTGTTGTCTGTGTGTGTTTTAGCCAGACGCCCTGTACACCAGCTACACAGCGTCACTAAGTGATTTGCGAATAGTTGCACACAGCTGAGTGTAAGTTCAAAATCTGATAGGATCAGAGAAACACCTACCGCTGAAGATATTCTGTCGGGATGCTCGAATCAAAATAACGTTTCTATTTCTAGTAGAGTTCTCAACTTTCCCGAAAATGAAATAGATGAAATAGGTTTATTATTAATTAATAAAGTGTATTATCACTATAAGAATTTTAGATTTCGTTTTCTTTAGGGGAAATACTTAACTCGTTACCGTCGAATAGTAAGTAGAAGGAGAAGTGTCAATATCAATCATTGATACTACTCAAACTGGGTTTTGTTTTTGTAGTAACAAGTGTTCCACCAATTTCTTTCGATGTCGAAAGAAATGTGTATCGTTTTCGATGATCACAATATCAAAAAGACGTTTTTAGTGATGAGTATGCAATTTGCAATAAAAGTTATAGTACTGGGTAATCTTTGTCTGTCTACGAAAAAGAAAATTGGGGGGATTCGTATAAAAAGTGTTGATAAAAAAAATATCCGATGTTAAAAGTAAATAACTACACAATTAATTCTTGTTAACAAAATTTTCTTTATCATATTCATACGGATGAAAGTTCTTCTTGTGGTTTTTGAGAAAATATCATGAAATGAAACTTATATTTATTCTTTTAAAGGCTATGACAAATGTTTTTGGCTAATGCATCTATACTTAAATATCTTTATCTGACCATGTTAAACATGAAAAGTACACAAAAATGAGTAAAAATAATTTCCCACAAGGTAACAAAATAACAATTGGTTGGTAAGCATACATTTTAATTCTCAAAAAGCACCATCAATTGTGTATGAACATTATTATGAAATTTAAAGCTCAATACATCAATAAAATAAAATGAGATATGAACTTTTCGTTTTAATTTCATCGGAAAATTGTTTATTACTCGACCGAATTTGTTGGCATTAGATTTGATGACCATGTTTTATCTGCTAGATGTGCCATGATTTTGGATACTATCAGTATTAAATCTGGATAACATTCGATGATTTCATTTGGATAATATTGATTGCTTCAATACATTTATCTAACTGTTGGTGAGAGATAGATAATGAGCTTAATTGTTGAGCTATTTTATAAACCATTTTATATTGTTCTACAATTCTCATCAATATCATTTGGTGATTGAGCAGGAAGACGAGTAGCAAATGAACGAGCGGATGATAGTGTTGACGATTCGAATGAAGAAGTTGATGATATTAATGAATGAATTAATTCAAATAATAAACGACTGTTAATCAAACAAGCTTCATTGAATTTCTAAAGATAAAAAGGCATATCGTTTTCAAGTGACACAGACAATCAAAGAGTTAATCACACACTTTTCTGTGTGTAAGGTCGCCGGTATTGTTATTCATTTTGCATATCTTAGCTCGATCATACAAAAGTGCAGCTTGCTCTAGATGACCACATTTTCCTGCTGGAGTGCAACACTTTATGTTACAATCCCCGTATCAACACCAAAATGATCTAGCATACGAGACTGGAAGTAAAAACCTTTTACACCTTCGTTTAACGTCTTTTTCTAGTCCCGCATTCCAAATAGTTGTTCCATTAAATTATTTGTCGCTTCATTTTTGACTTAATTTCCTAGACCTATTATAAAATAGTTTTTACTACTATTTGCATAATGTACATCCAGAGCTCTTTCAAAATTCTTCACTTTCAAACAAAAAATATCTTACTAGCAACGCTTGACTTCACTTAATGCTGATTCGAAATCATCGATCCTCAAACAAAAAAACAACGTTGACCAAATCGGCAGATCATCAATAGAGCCGTCCTAAAATCAGAAACGAATTTTATATGTTTATTTCATTTCTTGTGTGTTTTCACAGTTATTCAATCAATCGTATGGATAATTTGTGAATGTCTTTGCCTTAGATGTCGTATAACAAGCTTTTAAGTTAGATCGGGTTGACGTATATCATTATTTGAAATACGAATCATAAACAATTTTAATAATTAAATTTCGAAACCTAAAACACATCATGCAAATGTAAAGCTGCACTACATGCATTATACTCCTTTTTCTTACGCTCTTTCTAAATAGCGTCGTGCTTGATGTACTAGTGCACGTTGTAGAGGTAACTTTAAACGGTTGTGAATATATTCTTGAAGTTGAGCAGAAAATTGTGTCATTAAACGAACAATATTGCATAGTTCAATGAAAATCTACAATTAGGAAATATTCATACACAAACGTACTATGTAAAAAATGATTGATTATCTGTTGATCGAACGATTCTGCAACATCATCATATTCATCTAATAAATTTTGACGTAGTCGAGTTTCTTTTGTATTAGAAACATTAGAAAGCCACAATCATAATTAAACAGAGAGCTCGATAAAGGGAAAATAAAAAATAACGAAACTTTTACATAAACAGCTTCTAAATTTGTTAAACCACAAGCCAATGTTCGAGCAGTTTCAAAAACGCTTTACCTAATAGAATAGGAAAGAAAACTATTTACCGATTTGGTCAATGTGGTTTTATTGTTCGAGAGTTGGTGATTTCGAATCAGCATTAGGTAAAGCCAAGCATTGCAAGTAAAATTTTCCCTGTAGCACTGTTTGTTCTCTTGTCAGTTTATCGCACTTGCGCGATTGAATACTTAACAAGTTATTTTATACTCTGGCATTCACTTCATGTCAGTTTTTCTCGGACCTCGCTCAAATTACGTCGTTCTTAGATGTTGCATTCCACGCCTGTTAGTATATAAACATCAATGAGCGACTTGTGTTTAAGGTCACTGATATGACGGGGCACAGCACTAACTGGAACTCGAAACCTCAGCTGTTCAATCCCATACGATGAAGAGAATAAAAGAAAACATTTTAATGTGCTTATCTAGAGGAAAACGAAAACGCATGTACTCCAAAAACCATATTGAACCTCTTAAATATCGAGCACATAGTGTCATAGTAAAAGAATCAGCAAAGAATGTTCTGTAAAAGATCGATAGTTAGGTTTTTCAACACTTTCTTTTTGTTTTCCCTCGTTTAGAGATAGAATCAATAACCTATTTGGTATGAACTGTACACCAAGAAAAACAGTAAAACTGCGTTACTATATCGTTCCAACAAAACACGTGCTTCCTCTTCACGAACATCGAACACCATTTTAACAAACTAATCCATGTATTTCCTTTCAACGACAACAGCACAACAAAATCCTAGCACATTATGAAATGTATGGATTATTGTTCAAAATGTGACCATCATGATACATAAAGTACAAAAATAAAACATTTATTCATGTGTATGTATTATGCAAAAACATCAAGCATTATCGAAATGAAAAAGTACGCAAAAGACAATTTAGCTGTCTTTGCCTCACATCTGTATATGCAGTCGACGAGAAGTGGAGGCTTTAAAATGAGAACAAAGTTGACCTTGTTACTCCGGTGGCTCTTGGCCATACATAACGTCCATTTGGGGCGTAAAAAGTTTTTATTTTGATCAAATTTCGCCATGAATATTTGCGCCGAATTTTGATGTTCAAAACTAAAGTAAAAGGAAAACTGATTGATCTTTTTCAATGTAAACGACCTATCCTTTCTTTCCATACCTTACTAATATCCCTCGCGTATTATGATTGTCATTGCCATCTGGTGATAAATAGGTGTAATCAATATATTCTGTTACTATCATATCTGGTGCCAATAATTTGATAAATTCACGTAATTCCTCCGCTAACGACGTAAGACACAATTATAACATTACAGACGTGTACCTCTTTTTCTTCTTCACTTACGGGTGAATGATTTCGATTTGAAATAAAAACAGAGGGAACTTCCACGTACAACTGTCTATAATAAAAAGAGATCATAAACCTAGATTTGCTTTTACAGGCACATATTACGCGTATGTAGAGACACGAGCTGCTGAAGATCTGACTGGGAAGACTTTTGATCGTGACTGGAGGAAAATCTCGGTAATGTTTCAAAATGTTTAGAAGTCTTTTTCCCGGAAAATCTTTCTGACATTTTGTTGACGATTTTCTGAAAAAATAATCACTTTATACATTTGTGCGCATTGATACGAAACGAGTATCGAAAAATACCTTGATTTCGTCCGTGTGGAAAGAGATGAGAATAAGATTAGTTTAATCTCGAAACACTTGAAACTCTGCTTACCGCGATACACATTTTTCAGGTAAATCAACAATTTGTAGAGAAAATACAACTAATGAATGAATGAACGAACATCTTTCCTTTGATAAATGACTTTTTTGCTCTACTGTCATTCGAAATATTAGCCTAATTGGTCGTTTTGTGCTGACTAGAATCGTTCTTCCATTCTGTCCGTCTGTTAGTTATTATATTCTTACCTTGTTAACTTTGCTTGATTCTCTGAAACATTTTCCATCTTTAGTGATTCTATATTCTGTTTCATCGTCAGAAAAGTTGTCATCTGTAGATTTGTCAGCCATCGTTACACAACGGATAATCAAGTTAGGTTTTCAAAGACGATTTAATTTTCACAACTGGGCGACTATAATAAACCACACGATAGTAAATATGGCAAGCTGATTCTGCACTAAAAATTGAAGAAACAAACGTCCACTGAGATATATTAAAACAAAGTAGGCACGTGTTTTTCACATACACATAATATACAGATTCAGTCTCTCCTCTTAAAAACTGAAGAATATGTAACATTTTATTCTACTCTTCATCAGATGGTCGCATGCACACATATCCACGTTTTTCTATGTATTGTATAAAATCTGTAGAAAAAAGACGATCATAACACCCATAAAAGACGGTCAGTTTTTTAATCGTAAGAAAAGAAAATAATGTCTTAACAAAGAAAACAACATTCTTTAAAGTTTATTTTAACATATATGCTGTTCAGTAAGAATACTAAACGACTTTGCTGGTGCTCGTTAATAAGATATCTAGGTTTTAAGGGATTTATATAAAAGAGTTCTATCTGCTGGGCTGTTATGACTTAGAAACAAATTATAACAGTCGAGGAATATAAGATATGTGCCCTTTATGGAAACAATTTCCAGAGTGGGGTGTCATTAGTGGGATCATATTTCGACTCCAACGTGTTAAAATGTCTCTGAATTGAAAGTTAGATAATTTGAAGAGTTATTTTAAACAGTAAAGTAGAAACAACATCAGATAGAAAAACCGATATATTTGTTAAAAATAATATGTACGAAGCGCATTGTGGAAGATAAAAATTACTCACAGTGGACACAGAGAGAGGACTGAATGAATAGTGAGATTAGTAGAGCTAAAACAGTGATAGTGATCTGCACATTTTATGTGATTACTAGAATTGGTTTTCTATAGAACCCTTAAAGTTAATTTATCAAAACATAAATAAAAAGATAAACCGTTTTATTCAGGTTTTTTTCATGCTCGAGTCTATTCTGCAGTTTTATATGCATAGCCGATAAGCAAATGAAATAAACACATTTTAATTTATTTACTCTTATGAAAAGTATGAACTTTTGTCAGGCTCAGCGATGCAGACTTACATATATATAAACTTGTAGAATTAATTTTATATTAACTTGGCATAAAATTTGGAAAAGGGAAATTCAGAAAAAAAAATTATTTTATCTATCTTTTGGCGTCGTTATTAAGGCGCCACTGCCAAAGTGTTTTCGCGCCTAAACACGGATATTAGACTTTTTACTCTTTGTTTATTCTGTCTGATTTATGTAACTTTAAAAGAAATAATTTCCAGTGTTCAATTTACTATTTCAACACCGAAAAGTATCATCATACGAATGGACTACGGTTTAATTCGTTCTGTGCACCAACCAATACAAATTCAAAATGGCTGCTATACCTAAAACTGAGCAAAGAGGTATTATTTTGCCAGATAGCTCTAATTAACTCGTTATCTTCCCGCCAGTTGTTTCACTCCCAAAAGCCTGAAGGTATATTCAGGTTTGTGAAGGAGTTGTCAAACTAGAAGATTCAAGACTTTTACATTGTCCAAAGTGGTAAAGTTTTGGAAATGGTGTTATATTGTGTTCCAATAGAAGCGCTTTTTTTCATTTCAGCACTTTTTGCCAATAGTGGCAAATTCAAAATAGAAAAAGCGAAAAAAAATTCACCGTATACGGCAGTCGTAAACCGCCGTATTTCATCGTAATACAACCGCCGTATACCCAGGTCCAATAGACACGGTCGTAAACGACCGTATACGGCAATGTACGGCGATATACATCAGCCGTATACGGCGGTTGTATTACGATGAAATACGGCGGTTTACGGCTGCCGTATACGGTGAATTTCCTGTGATGTGTGTGTCAGCTGTGGAAACTGTGGTTAGGTATTTTCATACATGAGAGACCACGCGTGGAAATTCATGGTATTTATTGCAAACATGAATAGCAAATTCACACTTTTGTTTACAAGCAATATGGTATAACAACAATGTGCTGGATTTATAATTCTAGGTACATCTGTTCGAAGCTCAATCCTGGCAAACAATTATAATTGTATGTATGTGAGTGGTAAGTGATATTCAAGACAATACAACACATGGGTGACGTCCTGAAGCTCTGTATACATCTTCTGTAAAAGATGCTGGAAACAAAAAATAATTTTTTCTAAACTGACCGTTTACGATCGTAAACTGTCACGGCGCAGTTACGGCCGTAAAACGGTCGGCGTATTTAAGGTGTAGTTACGGCCGTTTACTGCCGTATTTCCACCGTATACGGCCGTTTACGACTCAAATACGACCGCAAACGGTGATTTACGGCGGTCATATACGACTGTATACGGTCGTTTACGGCAGTCGTAAAACTGGGCCTGGGTAC